CGGCACCGGCCCTGCGGGGGTCTCTGCGCACCGGGCGGTTAGCCGCCCCCTGGGTGTGTCTTGGATCGAAGTCCCGGAGACTAGATTTGGGGCCTCCCTGTAAAGTGGGGGCACCAGCAATAAACGTGTTTTGAGGGTTAAGTGACCCAATAATGAAAAATCATTAAGGTCATCCTGAAGAGCTTTAGCTGTGGCCACCTTTATTTTCTGGCTTTTCTGTTGTGCTGAAAGATGGAAAGGGCTGGTGCGGGCGCCTCCTCCTCCCCACCCCCGCCTTTTCCTTGTAGAGACGGCTGTTGACTGTTGACGATTCAGTTTACTGTGGTTGCGGAATCTCTGTAGCTCCTCCAGCCCTCCCCGGAGGGAGCCGCCTGCAGGAGTTTTCACTGAGCATTCCTGCCCTTTCTCCCCGGCCAGCCCACCGAGTTCCTCCAGGCCCTGCGCGGGGACGGGGAGAGCAGCGTTCAGATCGAGATGGCCCACGGCACCACCACCCTGGCCTTCAAGTTCCAGCACGGAGTGATCGTGGCCGTGGATTCTCGGGCCTCGGCTGGGAGTTACATCGGTGAGTGGCCCGTCCCGGAGGCCAGCTCCCGGGCCCTGCGCCCGCTTCCCAGCAGGGCCCAGCCTCTGCACCCAGTGGAGGCTGGTATTGACTTAGGACACACAGGGAGAGCTGTGGGGTCATCCCTCTTCTCTCAAAACCCCGTCTTCTTCCAGCCACCTTAAGGGTGAACAAGGTGATTGAGATCAACCCGTACCTGCTTGGCACCATGTCCGGCTGTGCGGCCGACTGTCAGTACTGGGAGCGGCTGCTGGCCAAGGAGTGCAGGTAGGCGGCCTCTCTCTGCCTCCATTCCCGACCCTGGGCCCGCAGATCACTGCTCCACACCCTTCCCCCTGCTGACATGGCATCCTAGTGCCGATGCATTTCACAAATCTCACTTTGTGTTCCTGTCAATCAGCCAGATAATTTGTCAGTTTTTTTTAGCACTGACACCATCAATCCTGGTGGGATAGTATCATCACTAGTATTTGTAAAATGTGGCTTAGATACTTTAAATTTCAAATCTCTCCCTGATCTGTAGGTCCCACAAAACCTTTCCCTTCAAACGCTTACCTCTTCAATCACTGCCTGCCCAGCAGGTGGGCTGCTGGAGAGCTGGCCTCCTGCCCTCTAAGCTCTCTCCCCTCACGCCCTGTCCTCACCAGACTATACTACCTGCGGAATGGGGAGCGCATCTCAGTGTCAGCAGCCTCCAAACTGCTCTCCAACATGATGTGCCAGTACCGGGGCATGGGCCTCTCCATGGGCAGCATGATCTGCGGCTGGGACAAGAAGGTGGGTGCACTCGTCCTCTCTGTCCCCCCACTGGTGACGAGAGATCGATCCTCCGTTGTACCTCCCACTGCCTCTCCTACAAGATACATGGCACCTAGAGTCCTCGGTTACAGGCCTGTCGCTGCATATCCATGGCCATCTCTGGGTCCAGATGGGACCATTGGTTCATAAGCCTTTTGATAGAAAAGCTGATGTCAAGTCCCCCTCTCTCCCCGCTCCCCGCCCCCCCTCCTCCCCGCCCCAAGTTCTATGCTTGTTACTTAAGTGCTGTCCTGGCTCAAACACCCCTGTGGTAAATTCTTATTCTTTTGTCCACTTTCTATGGGTCACATTTGAAACTGCGTGTGACCAGCAACTCCCTCTCCATTTCCAACCTGGACCTTTCTCGCATCCATTAGGGTCCTGGGCTCTACTATGTGGATGAGAATGGGACTCGGCTCTCAGGAAGCATGTTCTCCACGGGCAGTGGGAACTCCTATGCCTACGGGGTCATGGACAGTGGCTACCGCCCCGATCTCAGCCTGGAAGAGGCCTATGACCTGGGCCGCAGGGCTATTGTTCACGCCACCCACCGAGACAGCTATTCTGGAGGCGTTGTCAACAGTAAGCGACCAGTGCTCCCAGCCCTGGGCCGGGAAGGGGGATGGACATTGGATGAGGGGGTGAGGGGGAGGCGGTTTTCAGAGCCAGGGCACTGAACCAGGGGTTTTCAGAAGAGGGGCACTGGCGTCCAGTGGCAGGGGCGGTGGTGTGTGCTGTTGTCACGGCCTTCAACGTGACCATTAACGGGACTTGCCGGAGCGGAGGGGGTCCATGTTCTTTCTCGTTCGCCCACAGTGTACCACATGAAGGAAGACGGCTGGGTGAAAGTGGAAAGTACAGACGTCAGCGACCTGATGCACCAGTACCGGGAGGCCAAGCAGTGACCGAGGCGGCTGGCAGGCCTCCTCTCGGAAAGCCTGGGGCCTGAGGCAGCTTACCTTCCAGGAGAAGGAGGGCCTAACCCGGCCCAGGGAGAGGGAGCCGGCGGCGGGGTGGGGCAGACTGTCCTTTGTGTGTTCTCTGTTTCAAGGACCAACCCTCAGTACAATAAAGGAAACGGTTGTAACGCCTCCGTGCTGTGGCTGAGTGGGCTTGGGTTGTGAGGGTGGGGGCAGGGACAGGAGAGAAAGAAAAGCTTTTCCTTAGAAGACAGACTCAAACCCCCACTAAGGAAATGGGGCCTCACCAAATATTTCCCCTGGGTTTGCTGCCACCTGCACCTCTCCAGGACCCAGGACCTGATCATCGTTATCTGTGGACACGTATTTGCAGTTTAATTCAGGGTAGGGCGCTAGAACAACCGTTTCCAAACTGAGAGCGTTGGATGACAAAGCTCCCACCTCGAAGGTGTGTGGCGATTGGGAACGCGGCACCACCGACCTGAAGCAGCACTTGGGAGCTGTTGGGCTTGAATGTAGAGATGGACATTAGGGGCTCAGTGTCATGACGTGTCACGCTCCATCGCAGGATGACAGGACCAGGATTGAAGGGGAAGAGATAAGGAGGACACCCTCAAGTGGGGGCTATGAGGAAAAGTCAGCAGGTTAGACAAAGGAGACAGACATACTGCCATTTCCCGGGTCACGCTGGAGCCGCAGGGAGGAACATGGCCGGCCACCTCCCAAAGGAGAGTTGTAAAAGGAACATCTTGAAAGCAGGGCGAAGTTGAGCACGAAGCTTTTTCATTAGGGACAGATCCTTAAAATCCCGAGTGGACAGGGATGGGGAAATTGTAGCAACCCCCCCACTTTACGTTTCTCCCGTCCCCCCGTGTTTCCAATTTGAAGTGACTCACTGGTAGCCAGACCAACAAGGTTTCAAAAGGGTCATTAGGAATCCCAGCTGTCACCTCTAGGACAGCTTGTGTTTGGGAGGTAGTTTCCACCCGAGGAGTCATTTCTGGAATCAGCCGATGCCCATGCCCCACACATAGGCTCTGAGTCAGGCCGGACCTGCAGGGCCCCGGCCACTGTGTTCTCAGTGCCAAACGAAACCAAGAAACCAAGTCCATTCCTCTGGTGCGGGAGCCGAGTGGCTGCTGCCTTCTGTTTGGGAGCCCCTGGACTTGGCTGTTTTTACCCCAAGACGCTAAAACTGGAGCTTGGGTGAGGGAAGTGGGCACTTCTCAAAACCGGTTCAGAGCTTGAGGTAGCAAGACCTGGAGGCAAGACAATCCGGTGGTTCTCCAAGTACAAAGCATCCCAGCCCTTGAAACAGTTTTTTTTGTTTTTACTTAGTGACAATTTTTAAAAATTGCAACTGTTTTTTCTGTTAGAGTAACAATCATTAAGGGC